CTTCTCAAGGCCTCCTCGCGCCTTCTCTCTCACTGCAGTTTTGGGTCCCAGCGCTCCGCCAGCTGGGCTCGGATGCGGGCCCGTTCCCAGATGCCGCCTCGCCTCGCCTCAGGCCGCGTGGCGCTCCAGCTGAGCCTGCGCGGCTGCCAGCCCCTCGGCCTCACCCTGCCCTTGCTAAAACAAAGTCAAGCGGGCAGTGCCCAGCTGGTGGTGCCTTAGCTTGATAAATGGTGCTGGGCTGATAAATCCTGAGGAAAGGTACCTCTGGATTTGATAGTGTGACTGTAGAAGGCCTCCTGCAGTGCAGCAGAACCCTAGAGTGTGTTGCTGTCATAGTTCCAGCACTGGGGTGTCTTACACTCCACATAGAGCAGTTAATTTTAAAATGAAGAGGTATGTGGATTCAGTTATTTCCTAAAAGGTGTTGGTTGTGTTTTAACAAAAAGCAGCCTAGATATGCTTACTTTACTTTGGTTATCCTAGTGCTATACGTTGGATGAAAAATTTTCATGTATACTGTTGTGAGAAACTCTGCTTTTTATATGGCAAGCAAAGCAAGGAAACAGCCTTTTCTTTATTCCTAAGCATTCCTTGTTGGTTTGTGTACATTTTCCTATTTCACGTATTCATTCGATTCTTCAATTTTTATAGTCTAGTTAAAAATGCTTGTATGCAAACCTGGGAAAATACTAGATACCATGTCTGACTCTCAGTCAGTTGTGCAAGAAAGCAGAGTTAATTGTACAATGATTGCATAATCAAGTAACTTGCATCAAACTATTGACTGGTTATCTTGTTGGAAAATCCAACAAATGAAAAGGAAGTATGGTGATGTTAAGGTTTTTTGTCAGTGTAGCAAGCTGTTGTGGTTTAACCCCAGCTGGCAATTAAGCACCACACAGCTGCTTGCTTACTCCCCCGTGGTGGGATGGGGGAGAGAATCAGAAGAGTAAAAGTGAGAAAACTTGTGGATTGAGATAAAGACAGTTTAATAGGGAAAGCAAAAGCTGTGTGTGTGCAAACAAACCAAGGAATTAATTCACTACTTCCCATCAGCGGGCAGGTGTTCAGCCACCTCCAGGAAAGCAGGGCTCCATCACATGTAACGGTTACTTGGGAAGGCAAACACCATCACTCTGAATGTGTCCCCCCCACACACACTTTCTTCTTCCCCCAGCTTATATACTGAGCATGATATCATACAGTGTGGAATAGCCCTTTGGCTAGTTGGGGTCAGCTGTCCTGGCTTAGCCCCCTCCCAGCTCCTTGTGCACCTGGCAGAGCTGAAAAGTCCTTGACTGGTGTAAGGACTACTTAGCAACAACTAAAACATCAGGGTGTTTCTTCTCATTATTCTTCTCATACCAAATCCAAAACACAGCACTATACCAGCTACTAGGAAGAAAATTAACTCTATCCTAGTCAAAACCAGGACAAGTAACACAGTACTTTAGAGTGGCTTATTTTCCAAGTATGTATTTCAGCCTCCATGGTTTTGTGCAGCCTACTCACAGAGATTCTGTTAGAGCAATGATGTGTTCATGGTCTAGTCAACACACTTGTATTTTTTGTGGGTATGTCCTTCGGCTTGTGCTAGAGCAAGCTCACCAGTTCTTACTTCCCATATTCTAAAGGCTTTTCCAGGAAGCAGACCTTATCATTGCAGTCCATGTACCACTCAGAAGAACATAGTGTTGTGATGCATACTTTGAGATTTCATTGTTTATTATGTGAGCAATATGTATTTTTCTTTACTTGCAGAAATCAAAACAAGGTGATGCCTGGTCCTCCTGATGAAGAGAGTAAGACATTTTAAAGGACATTTTTTCACTTAGTGTGTTTCTAGCGATAACAGGGGTTAATAAAAATTTTTGGTGACTTGTGTGTTTTATAGATTATGTTTATTTTAAATTGCTTGGTTTTTAACTTAACATTACTATTTCTTGTATAAAAATTATCTTTTTTCTCAAAGCCTGAAAGGAAAAAAAAAAATCCAACTTTTTGCTCACCAGAAGATGGTGCTGTGTGGTGTGGTTTGAAAAATCAGTATCAGAACAGCCATCTGATCATAATTGCTTTCATGTCTTGGGAGCTTGATATGAAAAGTGCATTTCAGTAATGCTTTCTTTTGTTTAACAGCTGGTTAATATAGACAGTATTTCTAACACCTTTACAGTAGAGCTAGTGGTCATTTCCAAAGTCTGTCTTTGGAACTGGAATTCCTCTGGGAATTCCTGCTTGTGCTCCCATGAGTTTAAAGCTCTGAGCAATTTAGAACCATGGAGTGGCTGAGACTGGAGATGGTCTAGACCAACCCACCTGCTCAAAACAGTCAGCTAGAGCAGGTTGCTCAGGACCATGTCTAGCTGGGATTTTCAATATCCTATTTTGGTGTTCGATCACCCTCACAGGAAGAAAGGTGTTTTGTTGATGGTTAAACACTTTCCTGTATTTCAGCTTGTGCCCAGTGCTTCATGTCCTGTCACTGGACATCACCAAGAAGACTCAGGCTCTGTTGTCTTTACTCACCTCATCAGTTGTTTATACACACATACATATAACATCCCCCTGAGCTTTCTTTTCTCTAGGCTAAACAGTCCCATCTTTCAGCCTCTCCTTGTACAACAGATGCTTCTGTCTCTTAATCACGTCGGCAGCTTTTCACTGGACTTACTCCAGTATGTCCACGTCTCTCGTGTAGCAGAAGGCACAGAACTGGACACAGCACTGCAGCACTGGTGATGCCACATCTGAGTAGAGGGGAAGCACCACCTCCCTTGACATGCTGGTGAAGTTTTTTCTAACACAGCCCAGGATGCTGTTGGCTGCCTTTGCCGCAAGGGTGCATTGCATCTTGTGTCCTGTATATTTATCACTTATATTGCATATTTATAATTTTCTTGTAGCATCTAGGAAGTCTCAATGTTTAAATCTCTTCACACAGTGACCAGGATAACAGACTCCAAATACCCACTTCAAAGAGCCACAGAATAAGTCGGGTATAAGAAATTACAACACTTTCTACTTTCTGATGACATTTCAGGCTATGTTTGAAAAAAGGTAAAAAAGGATGCCTGAATTAGCTCCTGGCTAGGCACATAAAGCAGTAGTTTGATTTTTCTGCAAAGATTTAATTGAGGTATTTAACATGCCGCCTGTATGTATTATAAATGAAACTGCGAAGGTCCACATCTGTCTGTCACATACTCAGAAAGATACTTAGCTTGACTATCTGGAGGAGCAGTAGTAAAGTTAGATAATAAAGACCTCAAGTAAATGTTTGCAAGTGTGGGACCCTATTTCACCCTTGCTTCTGCACAGGCTGTGGTTTGGCATTGCCTGCAGGAAGGTGGAGCTACACTGGAGTTAGCGGGGCTCTGTATGGGAGGAAGATTCATTTAGGAAAAAAGTTAGGGTCAAGGTTCTTAAAAGTCTCGTGAGGCGCCTGCATTTTCTGGGAGTGCCTGGGGCCAGCTAGAAATATTCAGGTGTTCATTTTGGAATCTCCTCAAGCAACTTCTCATTCTCCTTCTGGTTTGAGTTTTTGGGGTGTAGTTCTAGAATGTTTTCTAGATTTTTCTCTGTGAGCATGTCCTAAGGCTAAAATCTTAGTGGAAACTTTCACAACGCCTCTGCTAATGAAGCAAAATTACTAAGGAAAAATAAATGTCTATCTCCTTCCATGCAACTGTTTATTTCAGTTCATGCAGGCAGATTTTCTTAAGCCAATTTTGAGCAGTTCTGGTCCATGCTGACACTAAAACTTTTAATTAGAAGGGCTAATGAAATTTTGTCACTTCAGTTCCCTATTAGGTCTGTGCTAAGGAAATACTAGGTAAGACCTACTAAATGTATAAGCATGAGAAAAAAACACAAATGGTCTGCTTTTCTCATACAAAGCGGGTATTTTAAAAGAATTGCCCACAAAAGTATAGAAACAATATAATGCCTGTGCTTTCAAAATACAGTTACTTGGACCTTGACTGCCAAGGTTTGCTTACACAGGCAGATCTCTGTTATGATTAATGATATCTGATGAAGTAATAAGGATCCATCTAAGAGAAGTGGCTAGGAGAATACAAGTTTCCATTTTAGTAACTATTTTTGAGAAATGTGAATAATTACTAGCAGTACTGTGAAACAAAAATCTGCGCTCTTGTCCTCTTGTTGCCTATATGCCCTCCTCTGGTTTCTGCAGATGAGAAATTAGCTTGTCCAGAAGGGTTTACAGACATTATTAACATTCTAGTGACAGTTATTTATGGTAACCAAAAGTGATGCTGGTACTTCTGTCCAGAAATCTTTATACAGTGTATTCATGATACAACTG